GCTTATTATTATCAGACGGTTTGTGTGTACCTTGTATGAGTCCCAAAGTGATCACTGGGCTTTAGGCCTTATACGCGGCGTCTACTATAAATGAAAAAGGAAATAAAATAAAAATTGATGGTCGAGAGGAGTTAAAGCTGAGGACTCAGCTGGCCAAGGAATATTTTTCCTTCTACTTATCTATGATTCGGTTATCAAAATATTCTTGAAGGTAATTATTGTTACACGCTTGTTTACGAACTGTGACCCCATCTTGCTGCAAATACCCTCCATTTAATTTTTAATCAGTGGGTATGCAGAGACACCGTGTTTTACCGGAATAAGGTTGTTACATCTCGTTTATAATTGGCTGTTAAATTAAATCGCATAATCATGAAAATTAGATGTTTGAGAAAATTCATTCAAATCTTTCTCAAGAATCATATTCATAACATTTAAAAAATTCCCCGAAAAATACAAACTGTTATGTTAGTGTTTACACAAAATTGTCAAAAATAACTGTGTTATTTACAAAACGTTATGTATTGAGGATGACTAGTCAAAAACTTGAAACGGCGTGCCAAATGCAGTAGATCCACCTATTCCTTTGATTTTTCAAAAAAACGGTTATATTGTACATACTTCATTCAATAACTGTTTGACAGCAATGCCAGGAATTACCATTATATTAGATTTTAAATTTCGTATTTACGAAAAAAAACCTAATCGATAACGCATTTCATTTCACATTGCAATTTCTACTAATACAATATCGAACAGTTTGTGTACAGTGCGGGCTTTTCATGTCTTGTACGATGTAACGATCAAAGGAACACGCTGGACTACATGTTGGCACTGTTGCCTGTGCTTGATTAAAATATTTCAATTACTACACACTGAAGGTTAGCAAATACAACGGTTACACAAACTACACACAATATTAATATTTCTCCTAACACATACGTTTCGTAGGGTGCTAAACTGTCGTAAGGACCTCTGAAATTTAAAATAAAACAAAAATGAGTGTTTGTTATCTTCCCTAAAAAAATTAAAATATCCAAGAACGTAAATTTTGTTATCCCTTAGCGAAAAACCTTCCGTCGTCATTATCTCTTTGACGTTTTACATTTCGTTTTACAAAGATGTCATCGTTAGAATGCCATTTTATTCTGGTAATAAAGCAAATTAAAGGTTCTAAATATGGGGTAATATAATCTTTTTGTGTCTGGCGAATGCCTACCTTTTAAAAGTGTGGGATTTTTATGTTCTTCATAAAAATAATCCTGGAAGTTATATTGTCAGAGGTGGCAATAAACTGATCTGCTTCTGTAGGGGGAACAGAATTACACTTTCACGAATCAAAATCCCTGTCAATAAAACTAATTTTATCGGCGGAATCTCGAAAACAAATGTAATTAAAATTTGTAATGAAAGATGTTCGGTGTTTTGTAAAAACAGGAGTCTATTAAAATTTTATCACTTTCTAATGTTTAATTGGCAGTGCTGAAATTTACTGTCAATGAATTGAAATAGGGTTCGCTTCTCGGTGATTAGAAGAAATTTTCTTTTATTAGAAACATGAAGGTGGCATTCTGGAATTTTATAGCAACAATAAAGATTGGAAAATAAAACGAAATGTTGATGTTCATCACGGAATTTTTGTGAGAGGTGGCACCGTTTGGAGTTTAAAATATAAAATTAGAAAGTGATAAATAAATGTAGGTCCAGGTTGTGAGCTTATTTACAAATTATGTGCTTATTTATTTCTGTGCCGTGTATGAACAAATTTGACATCAAATAGTAATAAAAATAAGTTGGTAAACTAGTATCAGTTTCAGATTCTTACCATAAAAGCGGATTTTAAAATAACCTATTGTTATAGATAATGTCGCAGGTAGTCTTATAATATAAGACACTGAATATTCTTACAATTTCAGTTTATTTCAGCAATTTTTACGTAAGTGAAATTTTAATATTACATTGCTTTACCATAACTAACTTATTTGTTTATGAATATTTTAGAAATAAGATCCAACTTGTTTTTAATATTTTATTTGTTACTACTAATTTCTCTTATATAATATGTCGGGTCTTCCAGTCTATTTTATTACTGCGTTTTGTTCTATTTTTTGTTCTCTTTCTTTTTTTTTTCTCTTTTGTTAAATATTTTCTATATTTAAAGTTGATAGTTATTGAGATTGTTTACTTTAAGAGACACACCGATGTATTGAAAGAAAAAGAACAAAAAATAGAGTAAGATTCAGTAATAAAATGCAGGATGAATTAACTGATACCATAACAAAATGGGTATCTCTGTTTATCTCTCCATAAAATATTGCAACAGGAATCTTAAAAATAACGTTATTTCAATTTTTTGTGAAACCTTCCATTGCTAAAAAAATTCAAGAAAATTGGAATAACGTGGTAACGTTGCATTGGAATTTCAAAAATAAACTATGGTTATAAAGCCTAAGAAGAGACCAATAAGTAATAAGAATATGTAAGAAAATATAGGATATTCTATTTAAAAAAAAAAAACTAAATTGTGTGCTGTCTTGAAAACAAAACACTCTGTACAGTCGAAAATAATTTTAATGTATGGTACTCAAAGAGCAGTAAAAATTTAGTCTCCAAAATTTTTCCCACTTTTTTCCTACACTAATGTTTCCCCGACGATTCACAACCCCTAGGGTATAAAAAAATAGATCTCCCATTTCCGTCTATCCGTAATATTTTGAGACAGATAATTTCCAAAACTACTGGATCAATTGTCAAGTTTTGCAAGTTTTAAAGGAAGATCGAAACGAATTACTACGAGTATTTAAAAGTTAATATCATTTCCAGAAAAAAACACCAAGACGATATAATGGTAATCGTATACGCATATTTATACATAACTACGAATAAAATAAACAATTTTGTACATAACTTTTTCGAAATATTCTGTGTAGACACTTTTGAGCATATTAAAATATAGTTTTTCAAGGATATTTAATCGTTTTTAATGACGTCATCAGTTTTCTGAGGAGAGTGAATAAATATTGTGCGTTTAATCTTCTGTAATTCATAAATTTAATTTGGAACTAGCATCACTAATGTCCTTACATGAACAAATAGAGAATAAATACAGTATGTAACGGACCACATACGTGCGAACATTAATAAAATATTGTATACTTTGTTTACCAATGGAAGTGCGAACGACAAATTTTGATTGGTATTTAGCCACATCACACTAATTTTAAATACACCTAAAAGTCTACAGTAATCGTTGGTAGTTTAGGTGATTACTTTTCTCGAAAAGTCTCAACAGTCACAAGATACTTGCAATTTTGTATTTAACGGTTTTTAAGTCTTTTCAACAAGAATTGAAAACAAAATTATTACTTAAATTACGAGCTTTATTTTTCGTCACAAATAAGTTATTTTTTTTATAATATTGGCATTAATTTTATCTAACACAACTCAAAATTGAAAAGTACTTAATAATTTTTTTTCACTAGTAGCCTAAAAATGCACAATTGTCATGCTTGTCTGTGAGCAGTGAATTCGTTTTTCTGTACCAAAGTCAATAATGATAATTAAATTTGACCAAGTTTAACAATGGAAGTGAAGTTATTTTTGGCCAAGGTCTATAATAAAGATCAGGGTTATGTAATGCTTCACAAACGAAAATTGGCTTTATTACCAGATTTTTGAAATTATTTTCACGAGGAATGTAAAGGTGCTAACTGCCATAACAGCATCTCTGGAGGAGTACATAGTTTATTGCCTGATATATTTCCTAAAAAAAATTGCCAATTTAAAATTACAAACCTCATTAAGTCATTACAAACCAATTTTTCAAACGTCGAAAAATAATGACAGAAAAACCAAATTAGGTGATGTCAGTCATGTTATATTACTTTTTCCAATTTCTACTAATAAGATGTTCATTTTGTATGTTAAATCTCGCTATTAAAACAATAGTTTAATCGAAAGGATGAATAAAATGTTTTTTCACTAGCAGCTATGACGCATGCAAATGTCGACTCATTTAGAGGTAGCAAATTCAACTTTTGCGACCACCGGTTCAAAAAGAAAAATTGAGGTTATGTACGCAATGTTTGATGTGATTATTTCTTAAGAAATGAACAAATGTGTGCTACAAACATTACTTGAGTATACGCATGGTAGTTGGTAGACGGTAGAAGATAAAATGATGAATTCAGCGACAAGTATAAACGGTTTTCTTTGTGTTGAAGATTTAGATTAAGTTTGATTAGAAATCAAAACAAAATCATGTTGCGTCAAAAAATTGAACTTTTATTTTTTCAGTTTATGGTTTCTACTAGTGAAAAAAATAGTATATTAACCACGGTTACAAAGCCACTTCTAGACCTCGCGCTTCAGAGCCCTCCACGCTGCGCGTCTCGGGTTCTAATTTGCGCTCGGTCTAGAATGCTTGGCTTTGCAACCTTGACTAATAATATACTATTATAGCAACACTTTATTCACACTGTCATTGACAACACGAATAAAGTAAAAAAACTAAAAATTCGTACTACCACTGAAATTTTCGTTGCTATGGATGCGTGGATATTCAACTAAAATTTGCAACGCTTGATAGTCCACCTCCTGTAAAACAATCTTAATGAAAGTCCAGGAGGATCGTTTGAATTTGACCATGACGAAAGTGCAGGAGCTTAGGCAATTTGCCTTCTTTAAATGTTCATCATATTAGTAATAGCACAAATAATATTTATGTATGGATTACCTAAACAATAATTCTAGATATAAAGTAAATTTTAACTTCTATAGCAGAAAAAAGGATTAGAATTCCGATGTCCGAATGAAGTAGGTATTTAGGTAGATATGTCAAAGTAACGAACTGTTACAAGATCTAATTTTACATTTTGTCTAGTTTTAATATACATATTTCAGATCTGTTCAAATACTATATTTTGCACAAAAAAAACTGCGCATTATCGACCAAAAATTTTGCATATTTACAGCACGTAAATCGGGATCAAAATACTCACACTCGTCTACGAAGATTTCTGCTTAGTCTAAGGTGATTTTTGCCTTGCATTTGTACAAACATTGCATCACTGAGAGACCTCTGACGTAACCTATCAATGAAAACAATCTTTCGCTCTCGTCTGCTGTCAGAATAAAATGGCATTTTCGGTTCTTCTTACCTTCGCATATACTGATCCTTGATCACAACCCAGATCACCAAAACATTCGCAAGTAACGCTGTCACAAACACCGGTACATAAAGTCCGATCACAAGAAACTGGTTTGTTCTCAAAAGTTCCTCAACGTCTAAATCGGTGGAATTTGAATCATTCATGTCTTTTCAGAATGTCTTCACTTTCGGCAATCACATTTTTCAGCACGACGGCCGGCTAACATCTGAAACAAAAACCGAGTTAACACGCTATAAACAACGTCGTATAGTTGTTGAAAATGCCACTCTGAAAACTCGGAAGCTCTAAACTGACACAAGATCCCACACTTTTAAAAGGAAAATGCTAAATTGAGTACGCCACTTGGTGGTAATCTCCAGATAAGAGTGTCTCGCGAACTATAAAAGGTTGGAAAATCTTGAAAAAGTGCTGTAAGCTTGCAGGATGAGAGCCTTTTAGGTTTTTTGTTTGATTTGGGTTCGGATTCAATTAAGCCGCAAATAAATACTATGCGGAAGTAATCTGCGTAATCAGTTATTGACCCAGCAAAAGTATTAACTCGATTTGGGCGAGTAGATCGGAATGCTGAAAGCAAAAGTGAGTTTGTAGATGTTGCGGTTGGGTTTGTGTTAGATATTACAGGCTATTAGCTTCGACTCAGACGACTGAACTTAACCGAAATCAGTTTATTTAAGACTGGTTCTTAGCGCCCACGTTGTCAAATGTAGTAGAAGTCGATGAGGACTTGGCTTTCAATTAATAAGATTGAAATATTGAGCTAAGAAGGTTTTCTGTTCATTTCTTACGATGTTGCGTTATTTTCAATTAAATTATATTATTGAAAATAACTAATTAGTATCTACGCACAAGCAAACAATAGTTATTTTTATAACAAGTGCTGAAAAAGAACTATATTACGCAAAAGTGTAGAATTTTCTGCACGCGTGAACGTAACCTTTTTCGGTATGTGTTATAAACAGCGTTTTTCCCACAACTGGAAGGATTTCTTTACAATAATCTAGAATTAAATTTCACTAAATTGATACATTCCTTCAAGTTAGTGCCATTTATGCGTTGCTAAGGTATTTTATTGATAATTTTACGTGTTTCAATGTTTTCAGTTGCCATTTTTACTTGTCGTGTCCGCTTGTGCTAGTTCAAAAATGAGTGATTGTAGTAGTGAATGTTGCACTCCACCCGAATTATGTGACGCAGCAAAGGAAGCAGTAAGTGCTACACTACCCGCACAATCAAAAGAACGCTACCAAATGGTATATGATAATTTCAAGACTTGGTGCAAACGCAATAAAGTTCAAAAATCATCCGAGAACGTGTTATTACTTATTATTATTAGCGTACTTCAGCGAAAAGTCGAAAGTTTACAAGTCTTCCACCTTATGGAGCCATTTTTCAATGTTGTTGAAGTCTACTTTGAGTGCAAACCATAATGCCAATATTGGCAAATATTCGAGATTAATTTCTTTTTTTCACTAGCAGCCATGACGCATGCAAATGTCGACTCATTTAGAGGTAGCAAATTCAACTTTTGCGACCACCGGTTCAAAAAGAAAAATTGAGGTTATGTACGTAATGTTTGATGTGATTATTTCTTAAAAAATGAACAAATATGTGCTACAAACATTACTTGAGTATACGCATGGTAGTTGGTAGACGGTAGAAGATAAAATGATTAACTCAGCGACAAGTATAAACGGTTTTCTTTGTGTTGAAGATTTAGATTAAGTTTGATTAGAAATCAAAACAAAATCATGTTGCGTCAAAAAATTGAACGTTTATTTTTTCAGTTTATTGTCTTATGGTTTCTACTAGTGAAAAAAATAGTATATTAACCACGGTTGCAAAGCCACTTCTAGACCTCGCGCTTCAGAGTCCTCGACGCTGCGCGTCTCGGGTTCTAATTTGCGCTCGGTCTAGAATGCTTGGCTCTGCAACCTTGGCTAATAATATACAGGGTCATTATAAAATATTGTAGTCAAGGAAGGCCATGACTTTGGTGACATTGTGTGCCGCCTTTTTCAGTTTTGTGGAAAGGATTACACTAATATTGGAATTTTTATTTTTAACGCCAACTGACGGGGAGACCTCAAGTTAGTGTTGTTGAAGATTTAAGGATGAGAATGGAACAAAGTCTGAATAAAGCTTTGTCAAAACTCTTTACAGTCCGGAGTACCATACAGCATGTGCCAGAAAATCGTAAAAGAGAAGTTACATATGCATCCATATAAGATTTCGTTGGTTCAGGAGCTGCAACCAGTTGATTTTCCTCCCCGCGTTGGGTATTGTTGGTTTGAAGCTAATATGGACCATAACAGGATTCTCGATTTGTCGTTCTTTTCTGATGAAGCCTGGTTTCATCTGTCAGGCTATGTCAACTCACAGAACTTCAGAATTTGGTGTATAGAAAATACTCACCCTTTTAAAGAAACACCATTACACGCAGTGAAGGTTGGTGTGTGGTTAGCTGTTTCTAGACGACGATTCATAGGCCCGATACTTTTTAAAGTAAATGAATGTGATCAATAAACAAAATTGGATGTAGAAAGTGTATGTAGGTACTGCAATAAAGTTTTTTATTTACAGTAACTTTCATTTTTCTTTCTGTGTTAGTTGCATTCTCTTAATTTAAAACTTACTTCAACTTACTGTTTAGTAATAATTGTAACTTTACTATTAGGAAGGTTAAAAATCTTTATTAAACATTCTGTTGTTTCAAGAGATCTCATAATCATCTACAGAACTCTTAACACTATACTCCTGAAATGTTATTGTTTTTTTCATATTTTTTATTATAGAAATTTTGAAAGATCTTGATATTAGGATAGCCATGTGGGCGTGTTTTGTAGAACTTCTTTGACATTCCTATTATGCAGATCTAGTATGTTTCAGATATCTAGAAACTGCAAAGCTGAAGGTAATGTTTGGACATAGCAGTTTTCACCTATTGTAGGGATGAAGATCAAGGCTTTCAGTTGTTTTTTCAAGAGAAAAGCACCGGTCACAAACCACGTCTGCACAATGTTTTGACGATTCCTTACAATTTACAAACTGAACTTTCGCGGGATCACCACTTTGGCAAAATTATTTACTGCAAAAACTCATTACTCATTGTCATTTTAAAACAGTGGTACTGTTCGTTAACTGTGATAAGACTTGCTCTGCCATTGTCCATTACGTGATTTTTCACAATTTTTACCTTCAGGGTACCTATAAAAATGTAATTTTTTAATTAATTACCGTGTTCATTGGTTTCGACAAATTTAACCTTACTTTTTGGATTTCATTATTTGAAAAATTATTGCTTCTTTGCAGAACAGACCAGATGATTTATTCTGTTCAACTCCAATCGACTTTCCTAGGTGCAATTCATGACAAACCCCTTAAACGTTTTTCTGACAATTTACAATTTTTGAAGCTGAAATGTATTGCAGTGGCGTTCACAAATGCTCGATAACACTGCAACCGTTAATGCTCTGGCCTGGCGTATTTTCGTGTCTATTTAAAATGAAATTAAACCGCAAACCTGGCATTTCAATTTTTGACACATTTGATAGATTTGTTTCGACGTTCGTGACATTTCAAAAGAGTTGAAATCATTTTGGTGATTAGCGGCACGAGAAAAATTTCAATTGTTTTTCATAGGTGAGTTGACTACAGTATTTTATAATGACCCTGTACTATTTCTTCAAATGTCAGAAATGCGGGTCATTGCATACCTCAATTGATAAATACAAAGTCCTACTTCACTGCCTTGACAGAAAAAAAAATTCTGCTTTGGCTGCAAAAATTTTTTGCTGCCGCTAAATCAACCAATGAAATTTAAGCCTAACAGTCTTATGTGTTGATGTTGATGTTCTCACTGTTACTAGTGTTTTGCGCTGCCAATGTCAATCACAAACAACTGTCATATGTCATTTGTCACAATTCAGTCGGTCAGAGCCACGGTGGTAGAAATAAGGTGTGAAAACAAACCGCACCAATTTGTTGAATAAAACACGCATCCCAGTAGGCTTATTTACTACGAAATAGTATCCCGCACAGTATCTCCATCTATGTATTAACATTTCAACTTGTCAGTGTATTTATGAATTAATTAAGTGACAGATTCGTTGGAGGGAAAATAAATCACACCATTACGGTTTGTGGCTGGTATTTGGTGTGAATTGTGTGATTGGTGGATGATTCGACATTTGTGATTGGGTAATAAATGACATTGGCATAAATGTCAAAGAATTAATGCAGTTGTCTATTACTTAATTTTAACTGATTTCTCTAGACGTCGCTGCGGTGTGGACAGCTAATGACATATAATCCAAACCACGCGATTTGTGTTTTCTACCAATGATTTTGAGGAAAGTTATGAACAGTGCGCGGAATTATATCTTACGGGTGCAATCCCCCAGTTGAAGTAAGGTGTGTTTTATGGCGAGTAGTGGGGACATTTTATCTGGTCCACAAGGCCCTTACCAGTGCGTCACGCTATTAGTATTCACTGCTGATAATAATACTACTTTTACAGTACTATATTACTTCAAATAATAATACTCGGTGCCCTTTTTAATTTTTCAACCACAGGACCACCGATTTGTTATCTTGAAATGTTATATTATGTTGATATAATCCAAAAAGAAAATACATTTGTAATCAAAGTATCGACGCGACAGCACTGGGTCGAACGCCTGAGATCTTATTCCGCGCGTTGGTTATGAATGAGGTTTCCACACCTTACTTCTACCACCGTGGTCAGAGGCGAAGGTTCGAATTATAACTGTCACTTAAATTAATCAATCATCATGCACAATCAAGAATAGTCTTAATATAATAATATGAAAATAATACATAAGAAAATTTATAATTTGCTGAAATCATTGAAAAGTTTTGCTATGATTAACATTTTATAATTAATTAGTCATGTTTTTTTTGCTCAAGACATCATGAAAAAATATCGTGAAAAAAGTGAGGTTATAAGACGTAACAACATTTAAAATACTGTAAAATGATAGTATTTGTAGAAGTACGTGATGGAATCAAAGGTATTTTGATTGCTAGAACTTGTCCTCTACAGATTTTAAAGGTGGCATATTTAGGTGAAGGTTGTTTTAAATAGCTCAAATTGGAATATTAAACAAGAAGAAAAGGCCTTTCGGTGAGTAAATTTGCCACTGACCTATTTTCACATCAAAGTGAAAAACTATATCGATATTGAAA